CCCCCCCCCCCCCCGTGCTAGATTGGACCCAGGATTTTGCACAAGTTAGTCAAGTACTCTCCCACTGAGCTACATCCCCAGCCAGAAATTTCATTTCTGAAGATTTTAAAATGAAAAGGCATTAAAAGGATTTTATTCATGAAAAGGATTGGTAGGAAACTCCAGGCAGTCATTGTAACCTGTTGTAGCAGTTTTGTGTCATAATAAGTTAGTGATGAATGGTATTATCTCTAGTTTAGAGGTAGCCCAAAGAAGTTAGTTCTTAGACTAAGGTCATCCACTTGGTAAAATGAAAGGAGAGATTTGAATGTAGACTTTTCCAGTTAAAAACTCTTATTTCTTGTATAGTACTGAAGTCCTTCTTGAAGGACTTTTGAGATGATTGGCATTTTTTCCCAGAAAAAAATTATATATTATTCTATATTTTATATAATAAAAATATATAAATATTACTTTTTATAAAATCTTTTAAGTCTTCAGAGAATGAAATATGACAGACTTATTTTTTTGTAGTTATACCAATGGTTAGCAGCTTTAACTGTCAGAAGAATCTTCCTTTGGTCTGACTTAAATCTCCATGATAGTTTAAACTAGTTTCTAGTAAAACATCTGGACACCATTCTGTTTGAGCAACATTTAACCATAAAGATCAAGGGCAGATCATTTAGGAATGAGGAAATCTGAGCTTTAATAGATATTTTGCCATTAACTAGCCATGTGGCCTGGGGAAGTCTGTTATACTCTCTTTGTCCCACTTTCCAACAAAGTGAAAATACTGCTCACCATACCTAATCAGCACAGTGCAAGTCAGCATTTATAAAAATGTTTAGAAAGGTGCTTTATAAATCCATGATACCATTCTGTGACTAATGAGAATTCTGTGTTCTGCATTACAATAATAAAAGCCAGTAATGACAAATTTGCTATTCCCCGTCCACTACACATGGCAGATAGATACTACTAAGCACTTGTGATACTTACTGTTAGTATTGACCTGACCATTTCTAGCTAATCAGAATTAGTGTGGGAGTTAGTCTGTACTGTATACCATGCTGGCATAGGTTCTTTCATTAATATCACATAATAATGTTGTAGGCCTTTCTCCTATGTAAAGAATTCTGTTGCCTATCATAGTGCCTAGTATATAAAAAGATACTCCACCATGTTCATTGATTGAATACATAAGTAACATTGGTTAGTTTTTCTTCATAAATCTTATGATTTTACACTGAACTCTTATGTCCTCCTTGTTTCTAAAATCTAGAATTAATCACTGATATAAGAAACTCTTCTAATTAATGAGTTTGGAATTTGTAAATTTGAATTTTAAATAGTCTCCTGCTAGGCTTTGCCACCTTACTTGGATTTTCTTTACACCTTTAAAGGAGATTCAGAAATTAATGCTACTCTCACAAGAATTCAGAAAAAGAGGGCCGAGGATTTAACTCAGTGGTGCCACACCTGCCTTGAAAGCATTGAGATCCTGCATTTGATCCCTAGTACCAAAAAAACAAAGAGTTGAGAAAAAGAAGTACCTAAATCATTTTAAGCAAATCACATTGATTACATCAGAAGGAAGACAGCTATATAGTACATAGTCCCTGAACATGAAAAAAATATCTTTTAGTGCAACATAGTGCATAACAGATCAGAGCTACACTTAAAGTGAAAAGTGAAAGCATAAAGCATAGATCATTTTTCAGTGCCCCAACTTAGGAATATGTATAAAATTTTCTCATGTTCCACTTATCCAAATGTTTGATTCCTGTCTAAAATTGGATATAGATACCATTGCCTCTTAGTATAAGCTTACCTTTATATTTTCACAGCCTACTGCAATTTTATTTCATAATTAATTTCCATTTTACTCTTGGGGATAGGTGATTAATGGGTAGTTCTGAACAGCCATGTTTTGGTTCACAGGCCTAAAAGGCAGAGTAAGTAAACGGTTTGATAATTAAATCACTAAGCACTTAAGATCATCTCTATGTGATACTTAGTCTACTATAATAAAACAAATTTAACCATGGTTGCCAACTTCTGAAAACCTTTTTAGCCATTCCATTATTCTGCCTTGAAAGAGAATGCTGTTTTACTGGCTCATAATCTAGGTCTTCAGGTATTTTCTTGATGTCTTTTTCTCCCCCGTTCTCTGAAGTCCCCTTCATTAGTAACTATATTTTTCAGGTAATGTTTTTCTTGAGATGTAGTACTTCCCTATTTTTTCATGTTGGTTGTTGTTTAATAAGCTTACTTCTCTTGCCTAAATAATAAGTGAAAATGTAAGCCTAAAACTAGCTGACCAGTTCACCAAGTATTAAAATAAGTAGCACATGATTTTTTATGTTGATGTGTAATACTCAGATAATCGTTCCCTCCAGAATAACATGCTTCCTTCTTTATGAGGTCTGGACTGCATCTCTCTAGTATATTAATGATTATATAAATAATTGTTAAATTTTAAAACTAAAACCTCTTAAAAATTAAGAGATTACTTAGATTAATATTCTTTATCAGGTCTGTCACTCCATAAAAGAAAGCTATTAAATTAATTTGACCAGATTTGTTCTTCACAAAGCATGTTATTACTCTGTAAGTAGCTTAAAGTGATTTTGTGATCATTTTTCTTAGATGTAAAAGTAAAATTTGAAAATCTTTAATTTGTACTCCTTCCTTTCTTTTTCCCTCCCTCATTTAAAAAAATTTTTTTTCCAGTGTGGTCAAACTGGCTATTTTTTAATCTTAAATGCTTATCATTCCCTCCCTGAGAAGTGGTAGCTGATTGCTCCATGATCTTGAGCAATTCATTTAATACAGTTGTTTGTCAATATATTTATTATACTAAGGAATAGAAATCTTCAGGGCCAGTTTATGTGACTGCTTTAGATTAATCCTTTCTTCTAATCTATTCTCCCTTTTAATTCCTTGCCCTTTGGCTGCTACTAGGCTTTCTCTTTGCTTAGTTTACTTTTCTTAATTATTAGAGGCAAAGTTAGTAAGAGCCTTTTCTATTTATGAAGTCTATCAGCTATTACGTGCTTTCTTTTTACTTTAAAAAGGGACATTTCTTTATGTTGATACATTTTTTCACCTGCTTTTCCTTTTCTTTGTAGATACTATTTTCAGTTGTCAGGATAGTAGAAAATATGCTGGTTAAGAGTAAGGACCCATGGGCTTGGGATTTAGCTTAGTGGCTCTGCCGCCTGCCTTGCAAGGCACAAGGTCCTGAGTTCAATCCCCGGTACCAAAGGAAAAAAAAAAAAAAAAAAGAATAAGGACCCAGGGCCCATGATTTAGCGCAGTGGTACCAAGGCTGCCTTGCAAGCACAAGATCCTGAGTTCAATCCCCAGTACTACAAAAAATAAATTAAAAATATGGACCTGGGTTCCAGCTTCTGGTCTTTCACTAATTATATAACCTTAGGCATGTCACTTAAACTTTACAGTCTTATTTTCCTCATAAAAATGAAAATGTTATTGTAAGTCCCATCCTAACCAGTCTTTTCTGTGGTATTCATTTTCTGTTTTGGTAAATTTATACCTCATATTTTCACTATTTTTTTTGTGCCTCTCAATTTGTCTTCCTACTGTTACTAATTTTTTCATACTGTTTACCACCAAAATTCCCTCTTACATATTTTTGGAAATACAGAGCTTTTTTTTTTTTAAATTATAAAGCATTAGCATAGGGTGTGTTTTAGAATTCTAAACTTCTCAAATTTTAGATAAGTAATGTAGTATCTATGATACATGTTTCATAACTCCAAAATCAAACACATTTAATATTTCTATAGCAAAGTATGTTACTATTAAGTGGAATATGTACAGATTGTAATCAACCTTGTATGTCATTTCAGGTTAGTTTTGCCACCATCGGTAAGTTTGGGCCCAAACTTAAAACAATTTCTTTTGTTTTTTTTTAGAATTGTTTTAATTTTGGAATCTTGGATTATTATTACATTTACTATTCCTAGATACCTTTTCTTGTAACTTCTCATATTACCTTTCTGATTTATTTCCTATCTTACTGAAAAAGTTGAGTTCTAATTCACTTTTCTTGTTTACTAACTTTTCTTTTAAATCTAGAATCAATTTTGTGTTGATTTGGGACAGGGATTTTATCCAAGACTCCCTTTGCCTTTAGATCTCCTCCTAACTTCTCCATGTTTGAAAGAATCAAAATCATCCTGAGAAATCATTAAATTTTTTAGACAAAGTCAGTTGTCTTCTGGATATCTCTTGGAGAACCTCAATTTAATTCAAGCCTGCCTTACACCTGAGTCCTCCTACAGTACTGTATTAACCATCCTTTAGTTTGCAGTTTGCTGACCTCCATTTTTTATCTTGTAACTTTGCTGCTATATTCAGAATATACCACAAGATGGTGCCCAAATAGCAGGAAATTTCTGTCTCACATTTCCAAGTGCCACTCAGCTTCCTGTCAAACTTCTTTGCCATTAGAGTTAAATAGAGCTCAGAATATTGTAAGAGACTCTGCTGATTTTGAAAGATATGTCAAAATATCAAGTTAACTTTAAATTCACCTTGATTTTTGTAATTCACCCAGTTTGTAGTCTTGCATAGGCATTATCAATTTGCCTATAAAGAAGCATTTAGGCTTATCGTGTGTATTTTATGATACCAAAATAAGCAACTGGCCATAAAATTAGAACTAGTATTATGGGAACTAATAAAGTGTTTGGACTACCAAACCATACTGTTTTGTTTACTTGTTTTGTTTTGTTGGTTTGGTTTGCTTTGGAGATGGTGTCTAATTATGTTATGTAGGCTGGTCTTAAACTCTTGGGCTCAAGTAATCTGTGCTGCCTCAGCTTCCCAAGTAGCCAGGACAATAGGCACATGCCACTGCTCCCAGTTTGTATTTTATCAGGTCTTGGTAAGAGTTATATGGAAAAACCAAGTTTTTGCATTAAAAATTGAAGCTGGGTTATTCAGATTTGTTGTACATTTTTTGGTTAGTCGATTTTTCCTCCATTATATATGGTCATTTTTCCATATTGAAATTGTATTTTCCAGTGTGTTTCTGGCTTCCAGAAGTATTCTGCAAAATACTAAGATTTGGTTTACTTCTGAAATATTTTTCTAACAAAGTTATAATAGATATGAATAAAGCTTAGTGGCTATTTGCATTTGAGCAACAAAGTAAAAGAATATTAAGGCATATTCTTGATTCCTCTTAAAATATTTATAAAAATCAGTATACAAGGAATAATGGGCAATTATTTAAGCACTAAACACAGATGAAAAGTAGAATTAGATAATTATATATCAGGAAAACTAGAATCTAGGTCCTGCTAGCCTTGACTTTCCATATACTTTAATTTCTGTGGGCCCCAAATCTTTTTTTGGAGGGGACTACTGGGGATCGAACTCAGGACGTTGTGCTTGCAAGGCAGGCGGCAGCACCACTGAGATAAATCCCTGGCCCCCGAATCCTTTCTTTTTATTACATAAAAGATAGTGGGAGCTGGAAGTATTGCTTAGGTAGAGTACATCCCCAGTGTGTGCCAAGTCCTAGATTTGACCAGAACCACACACACATGTGACAAAAAAAAAAACCTATAGTCATGTTATTCTGCATACAAAGCTGGTAAAAAGTTAAAGATATCAACTTATGAAATCAAGTAAAAAGTGACCGGGACATTCACCTGTCTTATGATTAAAGTTTACTTTGTAATTTGGATTGAGGGAGACTTGCTGGTTAAAGTATGCATCCACAATTAAGTATGCCTTTTTTTTTTTTTTTTTTTTAAAGAGCGAAAGCGTTTGGAAGCCAAGCAGCGAGAAGACATCTGGGAAGGCAGAGAACAATCTGCAGTTTGAACATCATTCAATGAAAAGGAAAACTCCGTGAATTCCAAAAGTATTTCTGTAGCCTCATATAAGAGGATTCTTCCAGGGCTGCTGTGTACACGCGAACATGGATGTTAAAGAAAGTGAAAAGGCTATCAAAACAAAGATTTACTGGGTACAGAGTGAAGATATACTCTTGTCTTTACTCCTAAATGCAGTTCTTTGTTACTGCCGTACTGTGGTAAATATAAAAGGGAGCCATCAACTGGGAAGAAACACAGAACATACAGCTTCCAAGAGTCCCCTGGATAGAGCAAGTCATGGATCACACTTTAAATGTGTAAAGCAAATACAAAGCAGAACAGAGAATTCAAACCTGCAGTGATGGGAGGTTTAGGTCCTGCAAAGGCAAAGCATTCCTTAGTACCTTACAAAGCTAAAAACAGCAATATTGGGTACAGGAAGAGGGGACAATATGGAGCAATGAATACAGATAGAATAGTGCTATACTTGGCAAACACAGAATCTGTACTGCGAATCCCAGAACTCCAGAGTTGGTGAACTTCCACAGATGTGCGTATCTGGATCCAGAATTGGTACAGAACTCCATGCCTGGGGCTGCTCTAGTGCACAGCAACCAGGAACCTGACAGCTTCATTCCTCAAGCCAGTCTTGAGGAGTTGTGTGCCATTTCTACTTTAAACAGTGATGTGTTGTAAGAGGGAAACATTAAAGGTCATTTTATGACATATATCACTTGATATTTATCCATTTTTTTTTCTTTCCCACAAAAAAGATGAGAGCAACTCTGTTCTTCATGCCTATGTGGTTATACATAGGTTAAGTGGATCTGTTGCTTTTATTGAATCCAGTGAATAGAATCTCTCTGCCCAGAATATATTTTTGAAATGACCATCCTGGGATTCTCAATGTTTTTGAAAAGTATTATGCCCCAAAGAAATGGTAGTGCTGGGTCTTAAGGTGCTGACATGGCGAAACATGACACTGGCCTTCTGTCTTAGTCCTTACTCAACTGTCCCTGTGCTGTTCTGGTCATAGAGCCCTCTCACTGTTCTTAATCTTGTTTTTCTCATTCTTGGTCAGTTCTTCCAGTGTCGCATGTTCCTACTAACTGCCTCCATGCCAGGAAATCGAGTAAGTCACTGTCATGTCCCTTTGTTACTTCTACTTAGTCTTTCACTTGTGTTACATATCTTCATGGTAGGAAATGCATGGCCTCATACTGAATGGTTTATCTCTGAAATACGCTGCTGTTTGCATTGCTGGGGGTAAACCTACAGTCTTATGCATGCTAGGTGAGCACTACTGAGCTGTTTTTCAAGCCCATGTTTTGATACTTCAAGGCTAAGTATGTCCTTGGGAGTTAAAGAGATGACTGTTCCTATCACTTGCCTGTGAGGGTGCTTCCCTTTTGTGACTGTTCTTTAACTTTTAAAGGCATTGTTAATGGTAACAAACAGTTCCATGTTTATTACTGTTTTTTTATAACCCTCATAATTTCAAGGTCTCATTTTTGTTCTCATTCTGAGGCAGTATACTAGCAGCCTTTCCTTTGTTTTAGCTTACAGCCGGCCATCTTTAATTCTCAGGTTTATCTTTATAACCAACTTCAGAAAAAGGGATTTTTTTAAAGCCCTCATCTGACAATTATGGAGGGTTGCTTTTGTCATTAGTTGAATGTGCTTTGTAGTTATTGACCCGAGTAGTTGGGTTTGATGTATACTGGCCAGAGATAAGAGGTTCTGCCATGGCCCAACAGACTGCCTTGAGTTTATCCAGATGAAAATCAAATCCTACATTATGTCTAAATCATACCTTCACAAGTAGAATTAAGTGGCGAGTACCCTGTAGCCTCCGTGGGCTCCTTTGTTAGACAATTGTAAAGACAGCTTGTGTACTCTTGCTGTGGGTGTTCTTCATATATGTCAAATATCTAAGCCTCAGGATCACCTGGAATTTATAGTAGAAAAGTACTTTGCCCATGTTCTAATTCCCTCCTCAGGGTGAAAGTCTTTGTAGAATAGTAGTAAGTTTAAGGAAAAAAAAAATAAGTTTAAGCTGAAGTTCCTATACTTTAATTTCTGAGGTCAGAGTGTGCTGAGGTGAGAGTCATAGGCTTTTGGTTCAGTCTGGAATTTTGTGGTTGGTATTCAATTAGCATTCCTCATCTAGTTATAAGGCATGCCAGCCACCAGTCTTCCCATGACCTTCCCTTTCAACTCAGTGCTATAACAACACAACCCTTGTGTAGCTTTTTCCAGGAATTATAACAGGCTGTACCTATCAGACGTGTGATGTGGGCAGCAAGACTGAGATCAGAGCCAGTGGCTGCCTGGCCTGCTTTTTCTGGCTGTCTTGGAAATTAGATTCAGCAGGAGGCTGAGGGTAACCTTCTTGTCTAAATCTAGTCATCAGTCACTACACACTCACTGGCTAGCTACACATTCTTTCATACACCATTTGCTGCATATGTGAGAATAATGTTGTTACTGTTTGGGAGAGGTTTGCTGGATCCAACAGGAAATCAGTCCTCCTGTTTACCTAAAACGCCATGCCAGAGTATAATACTCCCTTTCCCAAATAAAGGGGATGAGAAGGTTGAGAAGCAAAAAGGTAGAGGAGAGGAAGGAAGAAAGCACTTCTTTGTATTCACAGACGGTACCACCTGGACTGGAGAAGTCCCTTTGACTCCTTATGGAGAGAGAAATTCTTGTGATGTGGGTAAGAGAGTACTCTTATTAATGCTTTGTCTGATACCATTCATTTTGGGTTTGCAGCCTCTATTACAAAAGTTGATAGTTCTTAAGACTTTACCTTTCATTTACTTGTACCTTTCATTCCATAACTTCTCTAGCTTGTGTTTTAGCATTGAGCATGAGGAAGGCAACTGAAAAGCAGACCGTAGACTAATACCTCATTAGAGAAATGTACATAAGTAATACATGTGCCCATGTATTCCCCAGTGCAATGGAAGGGAAAAGTGTGCTGGGAGCTGTGCAGAATCATAGCTGGTCTTGGCTTTATAGCAGTCCATAATGAGAAATTTTATTGACATTAACGTGTCAGACTTATGAGGATTATCTCCTTAAATGTGTGTCAGTTGAGAAAAGGTCAAGAGTCACGTTTAAGAAAACCATGGGATTTTATACCAGCTAACCAAGAGCATAGTTCAGCCACATCAAGCAGGGATGGTGGCCTTTTCCAGGTTCTGTCTTTAATTAAATGTTCCCCCGTCTGATCTCTCCGTGATCTTTTGTTTCTCACTTTGCCATACTTGTCTCATTGTTCCTGTAGTGTGGCTTGTTTGACTTATGTTCCTTCCATTGCAAAATTGTATTCAACATAAAGCTGATTTGGTTGAGATTTGAAAATTAGGCCAGTCCTGAGATGTGGTGATCCTGAGAGAGATTGGATTGCCTGTTAGGTATATGACACATATTTCTTGACTTGGCAGGAGGCTTTGACCCGCACAAGCTGGGGTCTGTTACCTCAGGCCTTCTGCTATTCTGCAGGAAGGCCTATTTTACCATTTCTGTGAAACTTGCCCCTTCTCAAGCACTAAGTAACTCCTGGTGTTGATCCATCAGGAGATAATGGGATTCCTGAGGCTTAAATTTGTAGGGATATTAGAAACGCCCAGGTATATGACAGGGTAAAGATAAAAACACTAAGGAACAGACTCTTAAAAAGAGTTTGAGAAGTGAGTTCTAAATGAGAACAAATAAGGTGAGAGACTGCATTCACCATTGCCATTTGTGCCTTTGACAGTTACGTTGCATTGAACCCCTATCAGAGAACTAGCCCCACTTCCTTTATATTTTGGTACATTTACAAAGTACCATTTAGTTGGGGGACTGTGCCCACTGTAAATCCCTATGGAACTGAGAGCACCAGAAGCCACGGCCTCTGCAGTACGTTTTAGGAAAGATTAGGTGACCTTATAGAAGAACAGCGGACCAAACCTTGGAGGCCATACTAGGCCACAGGCTCTCAAGGGACAGATCCAGAACCATCCTGAGGGAGCAGTACCATTCAGGTTTGGTGCTTGTGCCATCAAAAGGCTTCCTGAGCATGTTCTTGGTGCCCTTTGGAACTGGCCCCCTTCCCTCTTGAGTCAGGACTCTGAAGGGCGTGGCTCCAATAAGCTGAGGTATCTGGTGTGTGGGCAGCAGCTGGGACTGTGCAGTGATGGCTTCAGATAAGGTTGTTCCTGAGTCGTTGCTGCTCCAGGGAGAGTTCTGCATTGGCTCGGTATGAATCTCCTGTGAGCCAAAGGAAAATAGCTAAATAGCCAAACCCATCACAATCTCAGTCCTTCCCTGAGGACTTCACATAGACCCATTCTGCTCAGCTAATCCTTCACATCAGCTCAGTTATGGGCAAGAACACTAGTCATTCTCTAGAAACAGACCTTATTAGGAAGAAGAGGCTGCTGAAAGGGACTGTGGTGGTTCTTTTCCCCCTTCCCTAATTCATTCTGTGCTCTTTATTCTGTTTCCCGGGAAACTGACCCCTAGAGATTGCACCACCCTGGCTGCCTTGTCCTCTGGTTTCTGGTTGAATGAAGTAAGTCAACAACAGCCAAAGATTAGAGAGTGAAGAAGAGAGGGCAGGCATTTCTTCTGCTGTACCCTGCACTTTGGGCAGTGACTGACTCTAGCTCCAGCCAGGTTCAACATCCTTCATAGTTCTTGCTTTCACCTGGCTTCCTAACATGCCTTCTTCCTTTAGATCTAGGTGGGATAAAGTTTTCTACTTGTTTATCCCTGGATGCTCAGCATCCCTTATTTTCTTCATCCTATGTTTATAGACTGTTATACCTCTGTAAATAGTCCTTTGTTACACAACTCCAGGATGTGCCTTCTGTTTTTCTGCTAGGACTCTGATGGGTTTCTAATCAAAAGACCTGCAAAATGCATGTTTTCCTTTTCTTCCTCACTGCTCCAGATCCATGCAGTCTAGTTAGAGTCTACTGTCTCCATATGTACAATGCTGGACTTCGAACTCTTGATTTAATATCATATCCTTTATTTAATATCAGCAAACATCTACTTGGTCACCCAAACTGGGAACCATAAATTCTCTTCCTCTTTTTATTCTGTCTCCAATCTGTTGCCAGAGTTCTTTTTTGAAACATAAATAATTTTTTTGTTTGAAATTTGTCAGTTATTCCTAGAAGCCCACAGGATAAATTCTATTCTCTTAGAACAATCATAGCCCTCCCTTGAGAGAACTTTAGTAGGTTGGAAATTCACAGCTTTGTTTCACAAAAGAGAAAACAGAGATTTCCTCACTGTCCTGCAGCTAGAAAGTGATAGATTTGGATTTGGAAGCCAAAGCAGTGAAGATGTCTGAATCCAAATTCAATGCTCTTTCCCCTACTACTCCCTTCTGTGTCTTTTGCTCTTTCTTGAAAACCCTGCTCAAATATTGTCTTCTCTGAAACCTTTTCTGGCCCTTAAGTTGCTTTCTCTCTTTGCTTATTCCACACTTAATTCATCCCTGTTTAGGGTACTCATTAGTATTGGGGCTATTTGTATATGGGCACACCCTTCTTGACACTGAGCTGCATCTTGCAGTGCTGCCAGTATTCAGCACAGTAGAAGACCTTAATAAATGATGACTGAACGAGCAACTCTTCCCTACCACACACTACACATGCAAGTAGAGTCTGCCAGCCCCCTGAGCCCACCCCAGTACTGGTCCCACAGTGGCTCAGTTACCTGTGTGGCAGTTGTGCAGCCAGACCCGCTGCCCATCATACTTGCAGCGGCAGCGCATCATATTGTTGGAGAAATCAGATTCTGCCACCTCACTTGTGGGATTCACAACCACCTGGGGTAAGAGGGGAACAACTAAAAGTGGATGATTGTATTTCTGAGTTGACATGTCAAAACCCCTATAGTATTTTACAGTGTGTTTCTATTTGCTTCATTGATCTTTACAATTACCCATAAGGTAGGCATTAATGTCCTTATTTTATAGATGGAGACAAACTACTCAATGTCCACTGAATCAGGATTCAAATCCAGGGCCTTGAGCTCCCCAATAATTGTTCACCATGGCACAGCTTCTTCAAGTGATAGACCTGTTGGAGGCTGCACGGAAAACTCTGCCTTCATCTTACCTGAAAGATGTAGTCACCTGGGCCAACATCTGTGATATCCACCCACTGGCAATCAATATCATGCCGGTAGGTGTCCCAGCAGCCTACAGTCACTCCCTGTTCCCCAAAGTTGGCACACGCATAGCGCCGCTGCAGTCCTATAAGGAAAGGTACGTGGTTACTGAGGCACCAAGTAGGTACTTGTGACCAAGGACTGTACTGAGTCTTCACAAACTTAATCATTTAATCCTCACACCATTGTTTACTGATCAGTCAATGTAGCTGACTACAGATTCAGAACCTGAGGGTAAGTTAAATGACTTGCCTAAGTATCAGAACTGGACTGTGAATTCAGCACCAAAGCAAAGTACATCTGTTACAAGGAGATTATTACTTTAGATGGTATGGTAAAAATGTCTGTTGGCCTAAAATGTGGTTGAGATGTGTTAATTTATTTGTCTACCTATTTGTCCACCGAGCCCTCTCGAGATGATGTGTACCATGCTATTCCTTAAGGATGGAGACTAGGGGTAGGCACGTAGGGATTGCACAATGCCTGCCCTCAGGAAGCTTAGCAGACTGCAGCTGTTAGCCAATATAGAAAGTGTTAAGCTTTTTAAATCAGTCCAAAGTGTGTCGGGAATTCAGAGAAAACAGAGACCCTCTACCTAAGATTTCAGAAGATGAGAAATTGATCTTCTTTAATTATCTTGAGTGCCGTTGCCATGCCAATCTCAAGGTACCTGGGCTATTGAGCAAGGCAGAAGAGATTCTCACCCCCAGAGGACAGAGGAATAGAACAAGGGGGTTGATGGATGCTGTTAGGAAAGCATGTACCTGTGGGACAGTTTGTGTCTTCTAGACAGAAGCTGGCCTTGTGCCCCTCAGCCACCTTGGAGCCATTGAGTGTGAGCAGGTCGTAGTGGGTGAAGACCTCGATGCTGTGGTAGTGCCTGCAGATGAGGCAGAGCTGTCAGCCCCGCAGGAGCAGGAGAGGGTCTTCTTTGGAGGAGTTGGCAGGGAAGATTGAGGGACTAGGCCCCATCATTACCCAGAAAGGAAAGTTATAATAGCAGGGCTGTGCTCTTTTTTTCTTCCAAACCCAAGATTAGTGTGGCTTGTGGCCTCCTTTGCTGGCACCCCTTCCAGGCAGCAAGGCATGGCTATCCCTGTCACCTAGGGTCTTAGCCCAGGTGGGGAGAGGTTAAAGTCGTGCCCTAGTAGCCTTCAGGATGTTGGAACCTGGCTGTAGGGCCTCAGGCAGAGGTAGAAGGGAGAAGCAGCTGAGGACCTGTCCAGGAGCAGAGCTTTTGGGGGAGAGAGCTAACTGCTCCCTGTCAGCCTGGGACCAAATTGCTACCATAGTTTCCAATACAGTTATAATGACAACTCTGTTCAGCCTGCAGGAAAAGGTGCTTATTACCTCATGCAAGGCCAAGTCCCGAAGTCATTGCCCATTCCTCTCAGCTCTCCCCACCCATGGCTATATCCTGACAAAATAGATAAAAAAAATTTCCCATTCTGTCTGTCACAGGCATTGTCTCTCCTTTTGGTCTGGAGATTTCTGATAGGAAAGAATGCTCATTGTTTCATTTTTAGTACCAGACTACTCATGCCATTCTTTGGAGGCCTTGCCTTGCTGCTGCAGGAACCAGAAAGCTTTTTCTGTGAGCCAGCATCCTGTTTTGGGCCTCCAGGTTTCTGGGAGTCCCCAGTTTACCTGGCTTTAAAGACAAGGCTTAAGATATAATGTAGAAAAGTTACATAAACTGGACATGGTAGTATACACCTATAACCCCACCATTCTGGGGGGGCTGAGGCAGGAGGATCATATTATAAACCAGCCTGGGTAATTTAACAACTTTTGTGAGATCCTGACTCAAAGAAGAAAAGATTGGGGATATAGCTTACCACAAAGGCCCTGGGTTCAATCCCTAGTACCGAAAAAAAGTTGTAATACCATTCTAACAGATAGCAACTTCTAACAGGTAGATAACTTCTCTGTGGGACATTGCTGTGGGAAATGCCCCATGAGCACTGTCCGCAGTTACATCCAAAGAAAGTGAGAGTGATGGAGAGGGCAGGAGAATGCTACTGGGACCCCTCCTTCCCCCAGAGAGTAAGGCCAGGAAGATGTCTAGGATGGGAGACTTACCAGCATGTACACCTCTCAGGAAAGTTTGTCCAAGGCCGGGGAAGACCAACTGGTCCATGGACCCTGCTTTTTGTTTCTCACCCTCTGGAGCCAGGACAAGGCAGGCACTAACCTATGGCACTGGTGCCAAATCCAACTGTGGCGCCCAGTCTTGGGGCGAAAGTCAGCCCGGCCCAGGTTGTAGATCTGTGAGGAGAAGCGCAATAGGCGCCGGTGTCCATAGGGCCAGTCCATATGGTCAGCAGACTGAGAAAGGCAGTTCTCTTCATGGGCACAGTACAGAAGGCTGAGTGGGCGGTCCTCCAGGTAAGCCGTCTCCTGCACCAGCTGGGCATTCATCACCAGGTCTGGAGCACCTGGGTGGCAGAAGGCAAGACAAGAAGCCAAGGGTAGCAAGGCAGCTGGTCTTGCCCTCTAGCATGAGCACATGCTTGCCCCCAGACCAGACTCTCTGAGAGGAACCCAGATAAAGGCAGTTGAATCAGGTGATTTTCTAATATCAGTGAAAGGAATAAGTCATCATTTTAGCCTGGAAGGCAGCTCAAGGGTCATGGTTAAGGGTATCAGCTCTGGAGCCAGGCCACCAGGGTCTCTTCTTGGTATAACTTCTCACTATGCCATTTACCAGTTCTGTGACTGCTTAACTATTTTGTGTGTCATTTTTGTCATCTACAAGATGGAAATAAGAATAGTGATGTTAATATATTTGTTACATGCTTAGATTGTCATCTGGCCCACAATAAACATGTAGTGTATATAAGCTAGCATTTCCTTTGTAAAAATGTTTTTCCTCTGGTAAAGTGCCTTTTTTGTAGTTTTGTGTATATAATCATCATCCTCTCAACAGGAATCCTGTTGAACACTAGCCTGACTGTTGCTGTGAGTGTTCCCTGTGCATTTCTCTTTTGAGATATTATGAACATTTCTAGTGCTTCTCTGTATGTTAAAAAGCCCAACACAATGGTGCCTGTGTCTCCATAGCAGTTCAGTGCCTGTCTTTCCTTTCCTGTCACAGGGGGCTCCACATCCTCTGAAGCCATAGGCCTCCTGTGCTGGTACAGAAATATGGAGATCCATAGTTGTTGCCATGTAAACTCAAAAGAGAAAAATTGGCCTTTCTTGGTGCTTGTCTATGCAAAACCATAGGGACACAGCTTAGGTATTTGGGCAGAAGCATCTCCTCTGTGTGGGCCGGTGTATATTCTGATGTAGGTGGGTGGGAACACGGGCTTATTTCAGTGGCTGGGCTTTGAAGGTGCTTTGCTATATACTGTCACTAAAAATGTTCTTGAAGGGACTGGGGATTTAGCTTAGTGGTTCCGCTGCCTCACTCACAAGCAGAGGGTCCCGAGTTCGATCCCTGGTACAAAAAAAAAAAAACAACAACAACTTGAAATTCCTGTGTTGCCTTTTGGAGAGAGCTGGAATATGCCCTCTGACAAACCCCAGGGTTCTTGAGGGAAAGCAGGAGAGCTTTCAAAAGAGAGGATAAAAAGGAGTTGAGAAAAGCTGAAGAGGAGAGAAAGGATGGCCACAGAGGCTGCAGATCAGTTGGCAGGCTGCCCAGCTTTCAGAAACATCAAATGTATGTAAGAAGAGAGCTGCCACTGGAGGCTGTGAATCTCAAGGGCCCAAGGATTTTAGGAATGGAAAGCACCAGCCTGCTCAGGGGCCTTGGTGCTGTGGAGGCCCCACCCTGATGTCCCATCAATCTGCAGGCGATGGGTGATGGCCAGGCCCGGCACCCTCAGGCTGCACTGCATAGGGGAAGCATAACACTCACTGATCGAGGTTAAGAATGTCTTGGGTTAACTGGCCATATAAGTTGGTGTTACCCTGCAGGTTTTGGACTTGCAATAATTATCTCAGCACTGACCTTGTTGGCAGATGTTAAACAGAGATGCTACTGCCTTGAGAATTTGGGTTTGCAGGGCAAAATGGTTTTGTCTTCATGCCTTTTGGGAAATGCCACAGCTCAAGAAGAAAGCACACAAGCTAAGCCTTAGGCTCTGGTATGCCTTACATTCACACAGCCTCTTTCGATTTTTTTCTTACGAATGACAAGAAATATAATTTATGTTGTAACTCAGTATACACACATATAGTTTCAAGAAAAAAAACGACTGTCCTTAATAAATACTATACGCTCTTGTTTTCTAGTCAGTTTTACTTTTTAAAGTCATAAGCATAAAGTAAAAAAAACCCTGTTATATCTTCTTGCATATTTTTATTTTCATAGGAAGGTTGGCAGGGCAGGTTTGTATCCTGATGTGATAGGTGCTTTTGGCCACAGAGATGGAAAATGGAGTTGGTGCTTCTACTACTCAAACCTGCCACCATGCAGCTGAGAGCTGAGTCCAGCATTTAGAGCCTTTTGATGGTGAGCAGAGGCCTACCTGTCCACACCCTGTCAGCCCTCCCACTACTCACTGTTGGTGCAGGAGACTCCTGCTGAAAGGCGCCCGGTGCCATGGGAGCAGTGCACGGGCCCATGCCTCTGACACTGCTGCAGGGCCAACTCTGTCCCTGAGCAGCGCACTCCACTCATCACCACCTCTCCAGCCTCTGGTGTCCCCTGCCAGTACCAGGTATCCTAAAGGAAACAGCCAGCACCAAACAGTCAGAGCAGAGAGGTGCTTTAAGTCATTTTTCCTTCCCATCTGCAGCTTAGACCCCATTATCCCACCGTTGTGAGCATTCGGACCCACCTGATATTAGAAGTTTTTCCATGTACCGAGGCAGAAATTTGCAGCTTGCAGCTTCCATCTGGCCCCACTCTCACCCCATCCCAGATGGGGTCTTTGGGGTTTTAAGGGGTGGGCCCGTCCCCTCCTCCCATTTAGGTGATGTGTCCCCAGCTGTTCCTCATATAGCCTCAGCATTATGCTCAGTGCTGTGCCCATTTCTCTAGTGAGATCTGCCCAGCACTGCCCAACAGGCTGGAGTGCGTGGCTTACTGTAGCCATGCTTGGGACCTCTTGATTTTGTTACTTTGTGTATTTTGAATCTATTATTTCATCCAGACTGCCACTGGCTGGGTCCAATCTAGCATCATCTCTCACCTGGGCTTCTGCAAAAGCCTTCTGGAATGTTTACTTGCATTCAAGTTAGTCTCCACCCCAACTGTTTTCCAAACAGCAACGGAAGCTTTTAAAACTCTAGATTAGACATTGTGAGTGGTCTTGCCCACCGTCAAATGTCACACCAATCTCCTTTGACAGCCACACTGCATTCCTGGGTCCCTGGTTTCTTCAACTGAATCAGGCTTTCTCTGGTCATTAGAGCTTGCATGAGCTGTTTATTCGTGCACCTCATCTAGGTAACATCTACTTGTCTTTCTCACAGATACACCTGTGTACTTGTTTGTATGAATGAACACTAATGACAGCCTTATTCATTCAACTACATGCTCTGCAAGTCAAGGACTGTCTTGCTCACCCAGTATCCCTAGTACTGAGCATTGTATTAGCCCAGAATTTCACTCAATTGTTGAATGAATGCTAGCATAGGAAATTTTGGTCCTCTTGTAGGTAAGAAGCAAAACAGTGGACCTACCTTGAGAGCAAAGTTGGCAAAACCCAGGCCGAGCTGTCGACAGACCACCATGGCCTCGGTGAGTCCCCAGTGGTCACTGCACACGGTCCCCCAGCGTTGGATCCCATTCACCTCCACCTGCACCTCCACCACACCCTCCTCCTGGCTTCTCCCACCTGCCAAGCGCACCTGCAATGGTCAGAAATGTGTGAGGATCAGGGCAGCGTGAGGTGGGAAGAACTCGCCTGGAGACCAGCCCTAGACCACACACTCCCTGTCTTTATTTATTTATTTTTTGGTATCAGGGATTGAACTCAGGACCTTGTGCTTGCAAGACAGGCAGTGGAACCACTGAGCTAAATCCCTGTCCCTCCCCATCTTTAAAGTGGGGACAGTATACTACATAGTCCTGATTGGCCTTGCCTATTAAAGAAATCTGACTCAAAGTGCCTGTGCAGGGCTTTCTGCCCTAGAACTTGCCCTCTTCCTACCTAAAATCCTATTATTAATGATGACTTGCAATTTGCAAAGGGCTTTCATGTCTACCAGCTCATTCACAATGACCTAAGAGAGAATTAACCCCACAGTCCCTACCAGCACTGACCCTGCAACCTGAGTAACCCATCCCACACAGCACCTGTGCCACTCCCCAGGGCTGACAGCCTCTGATCTCACCTTTAGCATCGTGGAGTGTGTGAGGGGATGTGTGTACTTGCAGAGCTCCTGTGTCCCTCGGGCATCTCTTGAGTGATCCAGGGGTCTGTGGAACCCCATGGCAGAGGCACTAAGGCCCATCCCCTGAACCCCTTCCTGTCGGACATGCTCAGACCTGCACCCACCTGATTCTGGAAGCCCATATCTGGGATGTTGCACCTGACGGCAGCATCATTCTCATGTTGACAGCCATTCTGGGGCCCTTCCAAGGCGAGGCAGTCACTGAGGGTCCATTCGTAACCCCTGCAGCGCACTTCACTCAGGTGAATGGGCCCAAGCCCTGGGGGACAGGTGCTGTGTGAGTGGGGTTCTGCCTCCGTAACCCCACACCTAAGACTTCCTCTTCACAGATGTCCAGAACCCAGGGCCACCAAGAGAAGATCCAGAGCATATCCAGTCTCTCCTTCCCCATCCCGGCTCCCTCACTCACCTTGGCCCAGCTGGGCCCTAAACAGGGCTTCGCGTGCGGATCCAAAGCCAAGCTGGCGACATACAACACTGGCAGAGATGAGGTTCCATCGGTGGTCGCAGATGGTGCCCCACTGGCGGTTCACAAGCACTTCTACCCGGCCCTCGCCCACCTGGGACCCGGAGCGCAGGCGCACCTTCAGCTCCTGCGGGGAGGAATCGGCATTAGGGGAGCCAGAAAGGCTGTATCACCACGCGAGATTTAGGGCAGGGCTCCTTCCAGATGCCTGTGGAGTCCTGGGCCTGCCTCTTGACTTCTATCACTATCACCTCAAGCAGTGTTTTCTCCGGTAAGCAGTGTTTCTGGACCTCCACTACTCCAGAAGAATCACACCAAAACCTCAGTGTTGTGCTAGTAAAACCTCACTAGCACTCCTCTACCCCTCTATAACAAAGGGCCAGGCCCACACTTAATGCTTTCAACCCTAATGGCTGTAGCTGCTATTTACTGTTTTTATGGTTATCCCATGGCAAGTGATGCCCATTTTCCATTTATGGTGTGGTTATAAATGATTCCTTTGAAATAAATCCTAAGTCTCTACCATCATGTGATTTGTCTCCTCTTCCTGGCCTGGTTCCTCTCTCCTTTCCCCACAAGGCAGTGTCCTGCTGAGAGGGGCCCTGGGCTTCTTAGGCTGGGGCTCACCTCTGCCCGGGGCTCCTTGCGCCGGGGCTTCCCCTTTGGTGAGTGAAAGCGGGGCCCAGGAATACAGCTGACTATAGCATGCATGCCACCTGGACAGGCTGGCCTAAGTTTGCCCCGTCCTGGAGCCACCTGCACCTGGCAGTTGGCCAGGTGAGGCTCTGTCCCCAGACAGCTGACCCGGTGGATCCAGAAGGAGTTCTTATTTGCCAGGCTCTTTAACCTGGAAGACAAGAGAAATTGTGGGTAGAGGAGGCTACGGGAGGCCAACGGGTAGACAGCAAAGGGGAAAAGAAAGAGGCCTTCATGTCATACTTCTTTGCACCCTCCCCCAGGGTGCTGCTCCTCACCTAGACTTGGGATCCTTCATCTTCAAATTCCAGACTTTCCTGTGTTGGGAGAAAAGAGTTGGGGCAAGGGTGGAGGGGATACAGAATCCCACTGCCAGGTCGTTTCTTAGAGTTGCTGTTAAGTTTGCCCTGGACTTCGTAGTCTGCAAAAGTATTCACAAATCTTATTTCATGGCCGAGCTTCACAACAGCCCTGATAAGGTGGCCACTTCACAAATAATGATGATCCCCATTTAACAGGGAGGGTGAGCAAGTTCCTTTAGCTTGTCCTAAAGAGAAGCCTCTACTGGAGCTACCCCTGGAACAGGCAGCTCAAGCTTACCCTCCCCCAGTCCTGATGAAGGGTAGCCTTATGGGAGTACCCTGAGGGAAGGGACCTGGGGAAAGGTCCTCTTGGGGACAGGTGGAAGATGAAGGCCTTGCTGGAAGTAGGAGTGCTGCTACCCAGAGACATCCAAGCTATAATCAGGGCCACCTTCCTCATGGGAGGCAGGTGAGTCAGCAGGACCCACTGTGCAATTACCAGGCAGCAGGTAGCCAGGGTCTCACATCCCCATCATCCCCAAGGATGGAGCCATGTGGCTGCCTACCACCCTTTTCTCCTTAGGACCAAGGTCATATGAGCCAGAATTATAAGGAATTTGCACTGCATCAATGCCACATGATGAACTGACGGGTAGATGACCAGAGGTGCTGTGTTTCCCTCCATGAGAAACACAACAAAGTTTTTGTGAACGAAGCCAGGACTCGGATTGTGGTCATGATTTACTGGGTGATACAATCTGCTGTGATAGCTCAGTCACATTTCTGACAGAATATTTGTATGTCTCCTCTCCTAAGACGTGCCCCACAGCATGCCTTGCTTACATGCCACCCAATCACTCTGGCTTGGATCCTAGTTGAGGAAATTCACTGGGGCAAAGTTGAGATCATTCACAGTGAAATGGACATTTGAGGCCCAGATGCATGACTCAAAGCTGCAAAGCTGGTAGCTGGTAGCTCCAAAGCAGGTCTCAAAGCTGGTAGAGTTGAGACCAGAATGCATTTTTTTTCTAGAGTTGTGAGCAACAGTGTATATCTCTTTGGTAAAATTTATCTTTCAATCAAGGACATAATGTTTTACATTCAATTACTTTCATTGCCAGGGTATTCTGTACCAGTCAGTTCTTTCCATGTGATTGGCCAATACAAAATTTATTTTCTGACTTCTAGGTGTTCCTCACAATTCTGAAGCTCATCCTCATGTACTCTTAACTCTTCTAAGAGATCAGTACCTCAAAAACTCCAGGCACTTTCCTCAGTTGGACTGTTTCCCTTCTCATCCCAACATGTGCAGATATCCTGCTTGGACAGCCTCCCCCATCTATCCTGTAGAAGTCACAGAACCCTGCGACACACTTCACATCTTGCACTTGCACACACATACACTCACACAGACATTGTGTGTGAGCACACACATGCATAGCACACACACATACACATACACACTCTCAACCATAGCGCCAGGATCCCACCACTCTCCTACCTGTAATAGTGGCTGTTGACAGGCACTTGGCTGGGGAAGCCCAGCATCCCGCACACCACCCTGCTGTTGTTCATGGTCCAGCCCTGGTCACACACCTGTCGCCAGTGGCCCTCGTATTGCACCTCCACGGCACCCTCAGTCACCGGGCTGTGCCGCTTGGCACTGGCAAGGATGGGTTTGAGCCGCACTTCCTCCAGCCGCCGGCCCTGCAATGTGCACAGTCACCATGGGCCTTGTGCCTGAGCCTCCTGTGAGGCACTGCAGGTCTTCCCTGGGAAAGCCCTGGAATCTGAGCTCTTATAGAGCCTCCCCCAACCCCTCCCTGCTTAGGCTAGCAACCCAAAGCCTGGAGGGAAGAAGGCATTCACTAAAGGCCATGGTGAGTAGGAGGCAGACTGTTTGCCTAGGCCTTTTGCCTCATCTCCTCGAGTTTATTAAACTGGAGAGAAAGAGGCAGATCTGTGCCCTTCCAGCCCTCAGGACAAGAACTCTTGGAGTCTGGGAGTCTTCTGCTGGGCATGGAGGGGCCTTCTTAAAGCCACCCTGGGGACAGCTGAGATGGGCACAGAACAGCTTCCTGAGACTACTAGCAGGACCCTTTGGCCTACAACACTTGCACCCCTAGCCCTGAGCGACTTAGACTCAGGGAGCCCCTATGGTGGCCTGTTGCACTCAGTGGGCTAGGGCCAGCTCTCTGTGGGCAGAAGCTACCCGGCAGCAGAGAGTGGGAGCCAGAGCCTTGCCCTGACCACTCCTGTTGTTTGGTTTGGGCTGTTTTTAGACGAGGGTTGTTTGTGCTGGGAAGAGGCAGCAATTGTGGCCAGGCCTGTGGGTGAAGCAGCCCCCTTCCCCCCTGTACCTCCCTCTATGATTCCTGGCAGGCCTAGCCTCTGAGCCCCTGGCTTGCCCTGCATCAAGCTGGGCCCACTTTCTGTGCACCTGCCCATGGCCAGAGCCCAGGGATGCTGCTCAGCCCCAGCTTGGTCTCTGTTCTCCTCCTTCAAGTTTATTATCCAGGAGGCTTTCTCTACCATACAGTGCTCAGCTCAGGCCAGAACCTAACGAGCCTCCTCACCTGGGGGCCGAGGGCATTGGAGACCCTCTCAGAGAGGAAGCCACTCTGGCGCTGGGGATGGCACACCACCCCGACGTCTTCTGAGTGGCTGCAGTCACTGACACCCCAGCCATTAGACCCACACTGGTCCAGAGTGCTCTCGGTGCCCAGACAGCGCACATTGTCCAGCCAGATGGGACCTATGGAAGAAGGCATGGGCAATGCCTGGGATTGGACACAGAAAGGCGGGCCACAGCTGTGCTTTTGAATAGGAACCCACTTATCAAGTCTCTTCTAAGTGCTGAGTAGAAAGGTGGGGGGAGAGGAGTTGATTCTCAGAGGCATTAGTATTCACTGCCCTGCTTACTGCCTCCTCTTTGTGTCAGATCTATAGAACTGGTTTTTGGAAAATTCCAGGTGGGTCTATGAACTAGACATACATGTTCACTCATTCATCCATTCAGGGTTTTCTAAGTACCTACTGCAGGCCAATTGCCATGTCCAAGGAACTTAAAAAATTCAGTTATGGTGATGGTGGTGGCCCCATTATAATAGAGAATGGGAGAGTCAGAGTGGGAGTCCTCTATAGCTGAGGCGTTTAGGAAGGGCCTCATGAGGGCGGCCACTTGAGCATTAAAGGATAGGTGGGGATCCGGCCCATTCTGTTGGAGCCTCAGTGGGCCTAGCCCTTGAGAGAAGCCGGCTATCATCTTTCCATTCTGTGGAGCAGAGCCATCACTCACCCTCCCCTTGACCGTACTTGGCACTGTGGGCCCAGGTCAAGGCAGACTCAAAGCCCAGCTGGCGGCAGGCTACCATGGCCTCCTGGAGAGCGAAGTCATCGTCACACACGGTGCCCCACTGGCCCTGGTGTAGCACCTCCAGGCGGCCTTCCTCTGGCCTGCTCCCTGGGCCCACCAGTCGGAGCGTCTTGGTGCCTGGTGACTGTGACTTATTGGGAGGGGCCTGGCCTAGCAGCAGCAGGAACAGAGAGAGGGTGGCTGGTGGGTACCACATCATGATGACTTCAAGGGCACCTGGGAAATGAGTAAACAACGATCACCACCTCTACTATTCGGTAATGGTCCTTCAGTAATGCATGAGAAGGTAGAGGAGGAGGCCTATGCTTTAAGAAATGGAGCCCCCAGAGGTACCCTCAAGTCAGGAATATCTGCCCCCAGGGATATTTCTCTTTCCTACCTAATGTTCTCAGCACCCCGAGCAAAGGTGTAAAATGCCATCTTCACACACACAGGGCACATGGAATGCTGGGACAGAAAGAGTTATTATAGAAGTCAGGATCACTCCCACTCATTTATTATGTGGCTTGGCCAAGTCTATTAAACTCTGTTGGCCCTAATTTCTTATTTCTAAACTGAAGAGGCTGGGCCAAATGTGGTCTAATATCTCCAGCTTGGATGGCCTGTGGTATCCTTCAGTCATAGCTCCAGGTCTATCCCTGGTATAAGATTCATGTATTAATATAACAAACACCTTTAGAGAACTGTACTTGCTTCTGACCAGTTCTTAGGCAGGGTGCTGTGACACAGAAAGGAAGACTTCAAATATCCTTGTTATGCTCATGACTCAGAGAAGAGAAATCAGGGAAGACTTTCAAAGAAGGGACTCTTAATTTGGGCCTTGTTGGATGAGTAACAGTTTTTCTGGGTGGGGAAAAGGGCCTTAAAGGTACAGAGAACCAGAGAGGTAAAGAAGGGAAGAGAGAAAGAGGTGAGTTTGTACAAGAGCAGGGAGTGCCCATCTTTTGGCTCTACTAGTGTCGTCTTGGAGAGGAAAGAAGGGGCAGACTGGCCTAGACAATCAGGCTGTATGTAACATGCACGTCTCCTGGATGATGAGCCTGACAGAGCTTATGGCAGCTGGTAGAGCTGCCAGAGACCTTGGAGCCACCATTGCAGATGTTCTTCCACCCAGGCTGTATGCCAATGGGGAGCTGAGGCCCCCTGGAAAAGTGGCTGAAGAAGGTTGGGTCCCTGGCTCCCTGCCCAAATGCTTGTGTCTTCTGAGAGCTGGCTCTGAAACCCTCTTCCACAGCCATATTGCTTTTGGGGATCACTCAAGACAGCCTGAGCAGGGAGGGTCTCAGGCACTTCCCAGTCTTGTCCCCATAGCTGTTTTCCATTTGGGAGTCACTTCTTATTCCTCTGGTACCCAACAGAGGGCTGGGGTGGAGGGGGCTGGAAGTGTACCAGATGGGCTTAGGGAATCATGTTCCATTAGGAGTGGTGGCTTTGTGTGTGACTCCAATGCCCAGAATAGTGGAAGGTGTGGGGGTATCACTCAGAAATATCAATGGTTGTATAGCTGGAGGATGCTCTCTCTCTCTCTCAGGACTTGAGTACAGATAGGGAATTGGACTGCCTGGATTCAAATTCCACTTCCCCCATAAGTGTCTAGATGATTTGGGGGGCAACTTCTCATGGCCCTAGTGTGTCCCTCTGTAAATCAAGATAATAATGAAATGTACTGTGTAAGATTTTTGCGAAGATTCATGACTGAATACTAAAGCCTTTAGAAGAGCAGGCTCTTCTCTCAGAACTATTATTAACACCATTGTAACAGCTGCAACAGAAGCACTGGCTTCTATTGGTCTTGCCCCTCTTTTACAAAGAAGGAAATAGAAACCACATTCTTTCTCAGTTGCCAGGTCCCTGGTGCCCTTTTCTGCAGCATTTTCCAGATATCCTGTCCCCTCCACCATGCCGCTGAGGCTAGATCCCTCTACTTCTCCTGGCTGGCTATCACCGCAAATAGAGTGCTTCCTCTGTTACCCATGTCCCGTTTCCTTCCTCTGTGCTCCCCTGAATAGAAGAACACCAGGTATGAACCACACCAAAATCACTACAGGAGGAAACATTGCCCAGGTGACAAGAGAGTGTCAGAAGGCTTGGGCTCAGGGCCCTCACTGTCTGGATCCAGTAGTTACACTGGGTCTGCGCTGGGAGATAACTTTACCTCCCTCGCCAACCCTCTGGAGTTCTGCCACCAAACTGCTGGATATCTGGACTTGTGTTTTCCTTTCTCTGCTCCCCAGCTGAGACATCTGTAAAATGAGGGATGGCACTAGGTGTTACATGTTCTGACGGGGGCCAGGGTGGCTGGCAGATCTGCTGTTTGCCTTGTAGATGAAGTGCCCACAGCTTGGAGATCTTATCAGAGGCTTCAGTACCAAGCCAACAGGCTCTCTGTCTAGGGATAGGAAAGAGGGTTTCTGCTGCAGAAGCCTGAGTTCTGGGCCAGGTCAGCTCCCTTCCATACAAGCTGCCCAGACATGGGGAATGGGTGATAGCAGAACCAAGTGTCAGAGGCGAGAAGATAGTCACTCTTCTCAGGTCTCTCCAAATCTCTCTCTCTCTCTGGGTCCCTGTAGCTTTTGCTTACACTAAACTTATCTTCTGTTTCCTGCAGATAGCCTTCACTTTCCAGCCTTAAGCCTTTGCTCTCACTGCTCCTTCTACTTGGAGTGCCCTTTCCCTCTATCTCGGGTTGTGTAAGACTCCTACATATCCTATGTGCCAGCTCAAATGCTTCTTTTTCCATTGAGCTCCCCCGTCCCCTGTTTTCCTAGACCTTTGTGTGTTTGTCTCCTAACTCCACAACCAGTCTCCATATATCTGGTCTACCAGAAGAGCACAGAGAAGAGGACTAGGCTGAGAATCAGCGCTTAGAGAAGGAGGCAGCCTCAACAGGTTTTTGTTTTTGTTTTTGTTTTTTTTCTCCAAGTGAAGGAAACAGAAGAGGGGAAAGAAGGAAAAGAAGATGGGAAAATAAGGAAGAAAGAAGCTGAACATTAAAAAACATTTATTTAATATTTATCTCCATTTTACAGATGAGAAGATGAGGCCCCTGGGTGAAGTACTCGCCCAGCCAGAAATCAAACCCAGGCACTGCGGCTAGAAGTCAGGCTCTCCAAACTGCCAGAAATGGATATTGGAAAAGGAAGAGGGAAGGGTGGTAGGGAGCTGAATAAATTGCACCCTGTTGCTGGTTGATTTATGACCCAGGCTGTAGTGTGGTATGAGGGTACTGGGGTGGATGCCAGCACGGAGTGGCACCAAGTGACAGATCCAGGACCCTGAAGCTCCAGGCAGAGGCACCTGCTCCAGGTGCTGCCAGGGTACACTGGCACCTGGCCTGACCCAGCCTAGGGAGGGAGGGCTGGAAGAGGGCAAATGCCCAAGGGTAGCAGGAGAGAGCAAGAAAGTACTGTCCTGGGGATACCAGTTCTGGGATCACTCCCAGGCCCTTGTCTGTGGCTGTCTAGGAGCTGGGCTTCCTCTCTAAGCCGTGCACCCTCCCTGGTAGCCTTGACCGTGGGCCTGATGAAGGGCCAGACTGGGCACCTGTGGGGGCTGGGAGAGGTGGGGGCTGACGTCCTCTGTCGCCCTCCCGTCCTTTCGGTTGTCTCTCTCTCCCCAGAATCGTCAGTTCTGGACTGCTGAGAGTCCAGCTCTGCCCTGGCTTAGTTCTCCAAGTCTCAGGAGTGACATTTGAACCCACTTTGCCCAGTCCCCTACCTGCTGCCTGGGCCAGAAGGCAGAGGAATAGTTACAAACAGGGTGTTCACAAATCAGACACACAGGCACCCCCAGGGCTGAGGTGCACCACCCACGCGGGCCTCCGGCCAACCTCCCCAACTTGGTCACTGTCCAACTGGGAAAAGTTCGTAAGTGAGCAACTCTGGGCCAAGACCACCTGTCCAAGGATCCCATTTCTCCCAGTCCCCAGCCTCCAGGAACCCCTAGAAGCCTGCAGATCCAGAGACGTAGAACAGAAAGGCAGCACAGCAAGGGGCAGATCTGGGGGGCCCGAGGGCCAAGGGCCGCCGGCGGGGGCTCACCAGCTGGATCGCAG